CAGACAGACAGACAGACAGAGAGAGCACGGGAGCCTCTTTTGTTAGAAACCTAACAGAGACAAATTTATTCTCTGGTATTCTAATATTAAGAAGCCTTTGAAAGATTCATGATTATTCCTTTAAATACTCAAGCCATTTAAATATGTGTATAGAAAATGAGCCATTTAATTTGAATAATGGAGAGAAGTTAAAAAGCATTCATTACCTTCTGCCTAAAGGTATAATCTCCTTGATTAACATGCAAACTAATGGGGAAGGAATCTAATGCTCACTTGTTTTTTCCTTGAGCATTAAGACTATTTGAGTTGGTCATTAAGAAGTAATCACACGCACTCTCACACACACTCTCACACACACACACACACACACACACACACTCGCTCACATGCTGTCTGTGCGGCAATGTTTCTTTATAACAAACCAGCCTCAGGAAATTATTAATGAGGGGTTAGGAGGTTACACAGCAGCTAAGCCCAGAAGAATGTCTGTGCAAAGAGAGAACTACCTATTCAGAAGGGAGGAGAATTGTTCTGGGAGGACTGGCAGTTTGAAAAGGAATTCCTTCTTAGCCAAGAAATTCTCTATATGGTGCAAAGCCAAAATAAAATGAGTCAGAATTCTTCACATTTCCTAACTGTGTATTACTAGAGTGACCTCTGATTTTCTACAGAAATCAAGAATGGCACAGACGAGGTGCAGAAGGGCTTCCCCTTGCCCCTCCCCACAAAGTATTTGAGGAAAATATGAGATAGTATAGATTCAGTCCTGATTAAAGCGATTAAAATCTGGATGACATTATATTTGTAACTTTTAACTTTACCTACACAGCAGTACACAAGCAACAGCATCCCCAACCACCACCAGCATCACCTCTGACCCTTTTTCTAGGCTATATATACTATTAGAAGCTGTCAGATGTTGTACCCAGTGTTTATAGAGGGGTCCAGAATATGCCATCCTAAAATATGCCATATGCTACTTTGGCATAAAGATTATTTTGAGTTGAAGGCAGCTGAGAATTAAGAAATGCAGGAAAAGTTCTCTGCCCTCCCTTTATCTACCTCAAAGCAACGCATAAATTTCCATTTGTGAAGGTGGCATAAATATCTTCCCCTTTTTAGTTCCAAGATGAGGAGAAATACCTTTATCACCAAAGACAGAGAGCAAGCACTGAGATGAGCCTGCTTAAACAGACCTTACTAAAATAACCCTTATCTTCTATTAGTTTCCCCCACATATTTCCTAGTTACTTTCCCACAATTTATAGCCCTTTGTTAAAACAGTATATAAGCCACCTAGCCTAACTACTTCTTTGGGTTTTTTCATTCTTTTCTGTGAAGTCCCTGTGCACCTAAAATTAAAAATATTAACAAAATTTCTATTCCTTTTCCTTGTTAATCTGTCTTTTGTAAATTTAATTTACACACAGCGGTAAATGAACTTAAAAGGGTAGAGGAAAAGTTTTTCCCCCTCTTCTACAATTCAATAGGAAATCTGAAAAGTAGCATTGAGTTGGAAAATCCTATTTATGGTCAAAAATCATAAATATCTGAAAGGTTTATAATGACCAAATGATTTATAAATTTGTGAAATGAAAAAATTTTGACAAAAATTAGCAAAAATGTCAAAATAAAAATGTCAATTGATATGTCATAATAAATAAAATCAGCATTTCACATCTTATAATTTAAAAAAGTCATTTAATTAGCTCTTTCAATTTATGAGCACCTGCCACAATCAATACAGGAAAATAGTTAAAAAGAGAAGTGCATTATACATGTTTCTGTATTTATATGGTTGCTTGTAAATATGTCAGCATTTTATTATTAGTTTCATTTTAAAGTCACTATTAACTATGCAAATTATAATTAATGGATGTGGAGTTCTTAATGTTTTCTTACTAAACAATCTATTGAAAGGGCAGTTTTCTTCTGTGAGACTGCCTCAGGGGCAGAAATTAACCAGGATTCAGGGTCAAGATACAAATCTACCAAATACAATTCAAATGGTACACTACAATGACAACAAGACAGCCCCGGCCTCTATTTCCAAGCCTGCCTTAGTTTTCTGACACTAATCTAGAAAGAGAAAGGTCTTTCTGAATTTAGCCAAAATCTGAGTCTGGAGAGCTACATTCTATCTGGTTAGAAAGATATCAAATCCTTGCTTTTTAATGCAGATTCACTGCACAACAGGTCAAAGTAAGTTGTTCCTACATCCACAAATGTACTCAGGCTCCCAAAATGTTCCACAAATGAAAACTCTCGGCAATTTCTAGGATAAATTTTAGGAGCAAAGAGACTGCCAGAGAAGTGTCTAAACTAATAGAGAAAAACACAAATCTTTCCCCCAGTAATATTCTTCTGCTTCAGACTTCCTTCCCAAAAAATTGTGAGATGGCAAGCGATGGTCACATCTTGCAGCGTAACCTGTTTTAATATGTACACCGAAATGAAACCAAAAAAGCCCTGTTTATAATATAAGACACATATATTTAAGAAAAAAGATGGGTCTATCAGATTCTAAAATACTGGGTGTTTCAAATAAGTAAAACTTTTTTCTAGAGACTTTACTTAATATCTGATTTCACCAACATCCTCTTTACACTTAA